CGTCGCAACCAGATTGACATTTCATACAAAATCCCAGGATTAATAGCTTGTATGTGTGAGGTAGTCAAGATAATATTTAATGAGTTATGTTCTCTTGACAAAACACTGAGGTCAAATAACAGAGACCCTCAATGCCTTTACACACAAGTTTCAAAGGGGTCACAAAACTTCACAGCCTTATTGCAATAGTACCCAGCAGTTTTGTTCTTAATCGCATTAACTACATAAAGCGGGTCTTAGTAACCATTAAAGACGTTGTTTTTACTCATTTATCCAATTCCATCAATCTCAAATATAAATTACTTTGGTGATTAACAACCCCAATCCATTTTGGATAAATTGCAAAAATCACTTTTCTAAATGCGTAATCAAAACTGCTGAACGTTACTATTTTGTGGCTGTGGCAAAAACGAAACCTACTTGGTTCCCCTGTTATGATTATCAGAATAAGCGCAACCTACGTCAGTGACCACTGGTTTAGTCAGCCTCAACAACTGAGAATGGATTGGTCTTTGTTACCGAAACATGCCACCACTGTCAGATTTCATGGATATTGAGCTGACGCAAAGGGGATTGAAAAGGAGATTGTCGTTGCCTGAATTAGGTGTTTTGGACAGTCTTTCCTGGATTGAAATTGACCTTGAGATGTGAATCACAGGCAGTAGCATGGGACAAATCCCTTCTTAGGTAAAGTTAGCGATATAACAAATAATTATAAATTATTCGTCGTTAGTGAGTGATGTGCTAGGACAACGGGGGTTCTCCATCAAGGGAGCATGAATGCGTACTGTTTCGTGTAAATTAAATATATATCCTTTATTTGACACAACGCTGTAGAAAATGAAGTTTCTACAGTAGCAACCTATTAGTCATTACCAGATTTCTGACCTACTGCAAAGGAGTTTCACGCCTCGCTGACTCAAAATTAAAGTAAAGTGTTACTTTTCGGGTATCAACGCACCGCATTCTATGTCAATGTGCCCAAGATGATTTTACATATTCCAAGTTAAAATTACAAATAAAGAGCAGAAGGTTCTGAAAAGGCCAGTCAGACATGGAATAGATTGACATTTTTAAGAGAGCCTCCCATTTTGGACAGTTATGTGGTAGGAGGATTTGCCAATCGCTTCTGTTTGAATATCCGAACAGCCCACTTCCACCGCTAGTTCACTGCTGGCCCAACATTATCCATGAGCCATCCGGACTGCATAGATCCAGATTATGGAGGCGAAGGCCTCTTCTAAATGCAACGATTCCTTTACTAGGAGGCTTGAGCAGAAATGAGGCAAAAATCTTGATTCAGGGCTTTGGCGTAAATTTCCCTTCTATATAATTTATGCGTTTCGGGCCTTTAATAGATAACAAAGCTTCGAGAGGAAAGGGAAGCATGGGAAGAAATTTATGTTAAAACAGAACAGCAAAACATTTAGGAAAATTTGTGCACAGCTTTTGTGTGGAGTGTGTTAATTTATTTCCTCCCATAAACACCCCTTTCATTAATGGCAGGCTAGTTGACGTAACGTCTTCTTCCTCTTACAAGTAACATGAAATGTCTTTAAATAAATAACGTTCCCTTTCTCTCTCTTTCTCCATGATAGTGTTATTACCTGAATGTGAAGGCTGATATTTATTGCAGGAAATTTCTGCGAGAGAACAAAAAACATTTTTCAATCAATGTCAACACAGGTAAAAGGGCAGTTGGCAACTTCGATGGAAAACCACAACTGACGAAAACAGTAGATGACGTGCCAGAGGACTTGAAAAAGGAAAAGCACCAGACACGAGGGGACACCGCGACAGTGCTAAGTGGAATTAGCAAGATGCGTCGTAGTTCTTTTATTGCCCAAGTTGGCTTATTTGGATAAATAGACCTCCAGTAGGCGCATGCAAAATCGCAGTCAAATCAAGAATTAACATTTTCGTTGTATCTCAACCCTTCCTGTCTTCCAAATTAGTTCACATCGGAGCCGGCCTTACTTCTAAACGAATTTAGACATTGGAAAAGGTGGTGAATAATTTAAAATTAAGATTTGGAATTGACAATTTGACCAGATGATGTACATCGTGCTCGTTCAAAGCAAGTCGGCGCGCTACTTGAGAGCGATGGTGATAAAAGAAGGGCTTTACCTTGGTGGTAATTCAAATGGCGACATCAATATTGCAATCTAAAGCGCTAGAGGTAGGAGTCCTTGGCAGGAATACGTAGCCCTGCTTAACTCCTGCGCATACATCAGGATCAGGAATAAACTCATTTTATGACTTTTAAATCGTGCAAACTTTCCGAACCACACGTCTTAGCTCGTAATTTTACTTACATGCGAAATCACTTGTAAGCAAAAAGCATATTTTTAATTCAAACGTTGTACGATGAGATTTAGAAACAGACCTCTTCTTAACGCTTTAAAATTATCCCCGAAAGTGATTCATTGCTGTCGTTGAAACTTGCGCAGTGGAGCTGGGTCCAAGAAAGTGAACTAACTTGCTTGGCAATGATATCCCAGAGATTGTAGCCAACTTCATCAGCTTACTATCTACCGTACTTACACCAGCTACTCCTTGGCTTATCCAAGCCATATATAGTGACAGCTCTGAATGTACCTTCTCCCTTTTCAGACTTGCTGATTGCCACAGTTATGTATAATGGAAAGCGAACCTTCTTCCGCTCTCCTACCATTTGAAAAACTGGTGCAACTGGAGTAAAAGATGCGCACCACTGCAGCCGTAATGTATGTGAGAGAATGTAGAAAAGGCAAATGATTCCTTTTTTTAAAAACTACCTCCCTGAATAACCACCCACATCAATGACCTAACCGTTAAGATGTATATTACTAAACAATGGAAGTCACTATTCTCTATTTGGTAGTATTCTTGCCTCAAGGCAAAGATATCAAAAAGTGACAGGTGGGAGAAGGCTTTTGATTGACAAATTTGTAATTATTTGTTACACTGCCTCCTTATGGAGAGTGAAGTGTCTTTGAATTAAAAAAAATTCTTCGGCAGCTGCCAAAAATAATTAGCAAACCGGCCACCTGGTAGCCAAAATATCATAAAGGAATAATTCTGTGAGTAAAAATCTGAAAAGTCAGCAAAGTGAGACAACAGAGTTGCAAGAATTGTTGAATGTGCATAATTTGAAAATTTTCGGAGGATGAACTCCCAAGAGAAGCATGCTCCAATATTCTCGAACATTTTTCCAGCCTTCCCATTTCTGCTGGCTGTTAATAATTTAAACACCTCTTACCGAAAATCGTCCAAGTGATATAAATCAGCTGCCTTTGATTTGATAATTACTAAGTAATTTAAAGTGATGCCTTATAGAATCTAAAGCAGGTTCCGATTAAATAACTATGCCAAAAAAGTCAACGTAATTATTTAGTGGTCTACAGGCAATATAGCAGTTTTTAAATGGCAGCTCATCCTTATGCTTTTTTACGAAAGTCACGGAGTGTCAGATTCTAGATTACCATGGTGTTATGCAATTTGCTACTGCAGGTAAATGCAGCTAAATAAAATGGCTGATACTACTCACTAGTAAATTAGTGGCGAATCCTCCTTGATGATCAGTTAAACAGCTCTCCCTAACTGACCAACAAGAAAAGTCGTTTTGATTAAGAAGAATAAATATTGAACAAGTAAATATTCAACTCTGCTATTTTTAGCTTGTAATCGAAATATGCCTTCAAGTTTTAACTAAGGCTGAAATTGAGCATTTAAGCGCTTTATGATAATTCTTTTCGCTCTTAATCCACTAATCTTCTTCCTCATTCAGTAGACAGTTCCTTCTTCAAGGGCTTAGTATAACTACAGATTAAGACTTGAAAATGGCAGAATACTGATAAAGAGTTTCAGAACAGCTAGTAACTTCCCGTAGCAGTTGCTTTCCTGCACTTTGATATACTTCGTAGACACGGTTTATTGACACGTCCCTGCTGCGGAGTGGCATATTCCCTCTCGCAACTTGTTGAAAAATTTCACGGTGTTGCCGAAAGAATCAACATTACCTCCCATCGTCAAGGTGGCCCATCATATACGAGAACATCCAGTACTTTAATATGCAACCAGTTCTACAATTTATTCTATAAGGTTTAAGTACTCATCCACCAGCAACTTTAAGTAAATGATCCCTTAATCTACGGTTTTTATCATAAAGCACTAGTTATTGACATTATTCAGTCTTTTAGAGCCTTCAGACTGCTTTTTATGGTAGTAATATTGCCCAGATGGTAGTAAATTCAAAGTTTGGAAGTAAGTCGTGATGCTTTTTTCTTGCCTCATTACTAAGCAGGGCTGATGGTGTACTTCCCATGAAATGCGTCTTGTTTCCAGAAGGAACTGTGTTTGCGTGTGTGCTATGCACATTGCATTCGTCCATTTGTCATTATTTGCTATAGAATGGGTTTTGGCCAATGGGGAAACTGCAAGCCCTCCCACGCTCTCTGATTGGTTCGTCGACTGGCAACGTTTCCACTCTCGGATTAGCGGTCACTGCATCATCACCCTCGTCCACCTTACACACACACATTCACACTCACAAGCAAAAGGTAAAGAGAAGCCATACAAAAGTTCCAGTTCTCATTTCACAATGGATGCAGAAGAGAAATCGTCTTCTTCTACATCCGCCAACTGCTCGAGGAATCTTCTTAAACGCCGGTCAATTTCTCTCAACACTGCAGTTCCACCAATCCATACGGAACTTGAACGTTGCAGTCGAGTTGGTTTGGTAAAACGACAAGTTTCCACAGATGTGTGTGGACATTTCAATGAGGAATTTTATGAGACCCCTTCCAGCAGTAACGTCTCCACGATGGTCCTATCGAAATTGCGATCTTTTGGTCGACAAATACATCGTCACATGATTGAGACAGTAAATGTGACGAATGATGCGTCCCGAGGAATTCCACGATCAGCAGTTGGTGATCTCTATTTTCAGAGTGTAAGTCCTACTGAAGTCATTAATCGAAAAGGGGCATCTCGACAGTACCGAAGTGGAAAGCTGAGTCTAGATCTGGAAGAAACCTGGAAGTGTTTGCGAGTTATGGAAATGTCTCATGACCTTAAGCATAATACACAGAGTTCCTCGGTTTCCAAACTACAAGAATCTTTACTTTTTAGAGATTCCCAAGCTGAAGTTGAGTCAATAAAATCCAAAGAACCACGGGAAAGACGGCTTTCCACGTCTGCCCTACATTTAGATGGACTTGAGCAGCATCACATGGATAAACAGAAGAAACAGGTAGCTGCGACAATTGAAGACACTAGGAAAACCTTTTCCAAAGGTAATCGACCCCGGGAAGTGAATTATGATGATCAGGGTCAGACTTGGGAGATCTACGGTGCTGATCAGGACCCTAACGCTCTAGGGCAGGCAATCGAAAGCCATTTGGAGAAGATGATACAAAGAAAGCAGAGGGAACAGCGATGTTTTTCTCTCGGAAATGAAATTCCCCACCGGAATACTTGTTCCCCAAAATCCAGTTCACGAACCTCGCACACTGGAGAGCAAATATTACAAGCTGCAAGAAGGCGTTTCCGTCGAAGGGCTGTCTCCTCTGTAACTACAAATTCCACGCACACAGCTAATGAAGAGAGTCCAGATAGAGAGACCCGTGGAAGACGCTCTAGGCTTATTAGCTACATCAACCGAATTCTACGACGGTCGTCCACATCAGTTTTGGCTGCACGAAGGCATAATCTCTTGCATCAAGATTCTTTTATGGAAGGCGGAGGGCCGGCAACTGGTGCGAAGAAGGCAGTGATTTCTGCCACCTAAAGTAGTGACCATCGTGGATGTGGATTGCAGCCATTCCGCCGCCTTGTGGCTTCGGGACCTAATATTTTCACTGACTGACTAATCAACCAGCCAACCTATTTTTGTGTCCTTTTGTAACTACCGAAATGCACCCTGATTTACAAGCGAGATCCGCCTTTTCGAGTCTGAAAATTACGTCTTACTCTTCTGCAGTTGAAATTGAAATTGAAATTCTGATTGGCAAAAGTCTTTTTAGAGTATCTTGCAATAAGTGGTATGCTTACACTAAAAAGGTAATTAGCTTTGGCTCCCATGGAACTATTTTTGCCCAGCCTTCCTCTGCAACCTCCACTAGAACGGTCAGGACGAGTCAAATCAACGCTTCGATACCAAGGTATTTACATATGTGTTCATAAAACTCGACTATTTTTGCCTTAGTCTGTTCTACTGGTAATCACTAATTTACGGCTCGTATTAATCCCCACCCAGTAATCGTTCCATTGGGGAAAGCATTGCAAAATCAAAAGATTTTGCCCTACTTTACGGATGAATATGTTTCTACCCTTATTCCGTTTTGCCTGGTGTCTTTCCCAAAAATTTTCACAAACTTATTGCGGATTTGGGGAACGTTTCCGGGACATGGAAAAAGTTGACAAGCGCATGACATTTTGGGGGGAAATAGGTAATAAAGGCCGAAGTAATTTTACAGAACTCAAGTACCACCTGCTTTCATGCTTACACCGGAGTTTCCTATAACAGTAAATCAAATGACATTAAGTTGTTAGATGGCATTACAATCCTGTAGCAACATTAGCCATTTTTGGTCCTCTTCTTCAGATATCTGAGTCTTAATTTTTTAGTCGGAAGAAATCACGGTTGATTTTTGGCAAAATACAATCCTCCAAACTTGCTTGAGCTCTAAGATAGTACGTTTAAACTAAGGATTGGCATTGAAGAGGATTTTTGTTTAAGGAAAAGAACATACCCCTTACCCAACCAGACGAGCTATCGGTTGTCTACCGTTGCGATGTAGAACCGAGGCGTTACCACAATCATGGAGCACAAACAACCTCATTTATTGTTGCTTTTGTTTTAGACAACCTTTCTCTTTTAAGCATTTGATGGGGGAATATTTCTGTTTTGCATCATATGAGTCCGTCTTAGGGGGGGGAGGGTGGAAACTGTGGTAGAAAGGGGCAATTCCACAATAGTCTGATTCAAACCTACCTTCGATTCTCATTTATACCTGCTAGAAATACTATTATTTTGGGGATTTTCTCATTTTGTGACTGAATTATCCACTTATTTTTGGGTTAATTACAATTAACTTCGCTCCCACTGTAAATGCTTGAATAAAGAATCCAGAGGCTTCTTTGAAGGCAACAGAAGACACAATGCTAGAGCAGAAAATGTACTGCCTGGTAGAGAAGGTCTTGGAAGCTACTGGCATGGCCACAGAGTTCAGACTGCCTAATGCATGTGCAGTGGCGGGGGTTTCAGTGTTCCGTTATCAAAATCAAAAGGCTAAATAACCAATGAAAGTACAACACCAAGTTACACTTATGAAAGCCTTCAAATTCTACTGACACTAGCATTCAGTAATCACACCGAAAGCAGTGTTTTGACCATTAGCCCCTTTTCTAATGTGTGGAAATGAATTAATATGACAAGGTAATGGTGATGTGAATGCTTTGCTGGAGCGCAAACATGCTAATCGCCACATTGTTACAGCATCGAGCATTTAGTGGAGCATTTCTGCTTGGCAAAACAGAGCCCAACCACGGCCTCGACTATGTCTGTCTTTGAAGTGGTTGCAATTTATACATAATGGGCACTAGTGAACTTTGTCTGAACTCCTTTTGAATGCCTTTACACACAAGTTTCAAAGGGGTCACAAAACTTCACAGCCTTATTGCAATAGTACCCAGCAGTTTTGTTCTTAATCGCATTAACTACATAAAGCGGGTCTTAGTAACCATTAAAGACGTTGTTTTTACTCATTTATCCAATTCCATCAATCTCAAATATAAATTACTTTGGTGATTAACAACCCCAATCCATTTTGGATAAATTGCAAAAATCACTTTTCTAAATGCGTAATCAAAACTGCTGAACGTTACTATTTTGTGGCTGTGGCAAAAACGAAACCTACTTGGTTCCCCTGTTATGATTATCAGAATAAGCGCAACCTACGTCAGTGACCACTGGTTTAGTCAGCCTCAACAACTGAGAATGGATTGGTCTTTGTTACCGAAACATGCCACCACTGTCAGATTTCATGGATATTGAGCTGACGCAAAGGGGATTGAAAAGGAGATTGTCGTTGCCTGAATTAGGTGTTTTGGACAGTCTTTCCTGGATTGAAATTGACCTTGAGATGTGAATCACAGGCAGTAGCATGGGACAAATCCCTTCTTAGGTAAAGTTAGCGATATAACAAATAATTATAAATTATTCGTCGTTAGTGAGTGATGTGCTAGGACAACGGGGGTTCTCCATCAAGGGAGCATGAATGCGTACTGTTTCGTGTAAATTAAATATATATCCTTTATTTGACACAACGCTGTAGAAAATGAAGTTTCTACAGTAGCAACCTATTAGTCATTACCAGATTTCTGACCTACTGCAAAGGAGTTTCACGCCTCGCTGACTCAAAATTAAAGTAAAGTGTTACTTTTCGGGTATCAACGCACCGCATTCTATGTCAATGTGCCCAAGATGATTTTACATATTCCAAGTTAAAATTACAAATAAAGAGCAGAAGGTTCTGAAAAGGCCAGTCAGACATGGAATAGATTGACATTTTTAAGAGAGCCTCCCATTTTGGACAGTTATGTGGTAGGAGGATTTGCCAATCGCTTCTGTTTGAATATCCGAACAGCCCACTTCCACCGCTAGTTCACTGCTGGCCCAACATTATCCATGAGCCATCCGGACTGCATAGATCCAGATTATGGAGGCGAAGGCCTCTTCTAAATGCAACGATTCCTTTACTAGGAGGCTTGAGCAGAAATGAGGCAAAAATCTTGATTCAGGGCTTTGGCGTAAATTTCCCTTCTATATAATTTATGCGTTTCGGGCCTTTAATAGATAACAAAGCTTCGAGAGGAAAGGGAAGCATGGGAAGAAATTTATGTTAAAACAGAACAGCAAAACATTTAGGAAAATTTGTGCACAGCTTTTGTGTGGAGTGTGTTAATTTATTTCCTCCCATAAACACCCCTTTCATTAATGGCAGGCTAGTTGACGTAACGTCTTCTTCCTCTTACAAGTAACATGAAATGTCTTTAAATAAATAACGTTCCCTTTCTCTCTCTTTCTCCATGATAGTGTTATTACCTGAATGTGAAGGCTGATATTTATTGCAGGAAATTTCTGCGAGAGAACAAAAAACATTTTTCAATCAATGTCAACACAGGTAAAAGGGCAGTTGGCAACTTCGATGGAAAACCACAACTGACGAAAACAGTAGATGACGTGCCAGAGGACTTGAAAAAGGAAAAGCACCAGACACGAGGGGACACCGCGACAGTGCTAAGTGGAATTAGCAAGATGCGTCGTAGTTCTTTTATTGCCCAAGTTGGCTTATTTGGATAAATAGACCTCCAGTAGGCGCATGCAAAATCGCAGTCAAATCAAGAATTAACATTTTCGTTGTATCTCAACCCTTCCTGTCTTCCAAATTAGTTCACATCGGAGCCGGCCTTACTTCTAAACGAATTTAGACATTGGAAAAGGTGGTGAATAATTTAAAATTAAGATTTGGAATTGACAATTTGACCAGATGATGTACATCGTGCTCGTTCAAAGCAAGTCGGCGCGCTACTTGAGAGCGATGGTGATAAAAGAAGGGCTTTACCTTGGTGGTAATTCAAATGGCGACATCAATATTGCAATCTAAAGCGCTAGAGGTAGGAGTCCTTGGCAGGAATACGTAGCCCTGCTTAACTCCTGCGCATACATCAGGATCAGGAATAAACTCATTTTATGACTTTTAAATCGTGCAAACTTTCCGAACCACACGTCTTAGCTCGTAATTTTACTTACATGCGAAATCACTTGTAAGCAAAAAGCATATTTTTAATTCAAACGTTGTACGATGAGATTTAGAAACAGACCTCTTCTTAACGCTTTAAAATTATCCCCGAAAGTGATTCATTGCTGTCGTTGAAACTTGCGCAGTGGAGCTGGGTCCAAGAAAGTGAACTAACTTGCTTGGCAATGATATCCCAGAGATTGTAGCCAACTTCATCAGCTTACTATCTACCGTACTTACACCAGCTACTCCTTGGCTTATCCAAGCCATATATAGTGACAGCTCTGAATGTACCTTCTCCCTTTTCAGACTTGCTGATTGCCACAGTTATGTATAATGGAAAGCGAACCTTCTTCCGCTCTCCTACCATTTGAAAAACTGGTGCAACTGGAGTAAAAGATGCGCACCACTGCAGCCGTAATGTATGTGAGAGAATGTAGAAAAGGCAAATGATTCCTTTTTTTAAAAACTACCTCCCTGAATAACCACCCACATCAATGACCTAACCGTTAAGATGTATATTACTAAACAATGGAAGTCACTATTCTCTATTTGGTAGTATTCTTGCCTCAAGGCAAAGATATCAAAAAGTGACAGGTGGGAGAAGGCTTTTGATTGACAAATTTGTAATTATTTGTTACACTGCCTCCTTATGGAGAGTGAAGTGTCTTTGAATTAAAAAAAATTCTTCGGCAGCTGCCAAAAATAATTAGCAAACCGGCCACCTGGTAGCCAAAATATCATAAAGGAATAATTCTGTGAGTAAAAATCTGAAAAGTCAGCAAAGTGAGACAACAGAGTTGCAAGAATTGTTGAATGTGCATAATTTGAAAATTTTCGGAGGATGAACTCCCAAGAGAAGCATGCTCCAATATTCTCGAACATTTTTCCAGCCTTCCCATTTCTGCTGGCTGTTAATAATTTAAACACCTCTTACCGAAAATCGTCCAAGTGATATAAATCAGCTGCCTTTGATTTGATAATT